TGGTCTTTGTGTGGGAGCTGCAGCTACCACTAGTCTAGCACCAGCCTTTGTCGCTGGCTCGGGTGCGACCTCACAGCCTGCACAGCTTTCATTCACCCTAGACTCTGGAGCGTCCAGCAGTTTCTTTCGCGACTGTACTGACCTCACGCCACTACGCACTCCAGTCACTGTCGCCTTGGCTGACCCCTCCGCGGGACCTGTGGTTGCCCAGAGCACCACCACTCTCCCGTGTCCGGCGGCTCCTTCTGGGTTTCTCATAGGTTACTACACCCCCTCGTTCTCCAAGAACCTGGTGGGTGTCAGTCACCTCAACGACCTAGCTGTAGACACTATTTTTCCACTGGATGAGCCTGTTGCCTCCTGCACAGTCAGTGCTACTGGGGCACTTTTGGCCACTTTCCACAGGGAGTTGGGCCTTGGTCTGTACTCACTACACACAAGGTCCCACCACACAGGGTTAGGTCAGGTCAGGTAGCTGCTGTGTCGTGCGACTGTCGGTCCCTCACCCACCCATCAGTCCTTTGGCACCACAGTCTAGGTCACCCGTCGTTCCCACGTCTTAGTAGGATGGCACGACACCGTCTGGTCTCAGGTCTCCTAGAGTCGCTTGCCCCGCTTCCTCGCTCGCCTGCGCCGCCGTGCACTCCTTGCGTCGAGGGTCGGCAACGCGCTGCCCCTCACTCCTCCTCGTTCCCCATCGCCACGGCTCCCTTCCAGACCCTGCACTTGGACGTCTGGGGCCCCTCCCCGGTCCTTGGCCCACGTCAGGAGCGCTACTTCCTGTTTGTGGTGGACGACTACTCCCGCTACACCACGGTTTTCCCCTTGCGACAGAAGGCCGACATGCCTACTGTCCTGGAGCCGTGGCTACTAGCGAGGGGTGGCGCCCAGGGCCTGGTGGGCTCCGCCTACACTCAGACCGTGGTGCTGAGTTTTCTTCCACTCACCTGGAGACGTTCTGTCAGGGCCGGGGAATCATCCAGTCTTACACGCTACCAGCCTCGCCGCAGCAGAACGGGGTAGCCGAGCGACGCATCGGCCTGGTCATGGAGGTTGCCTAGACCTCCATGTGCCATGCCGGTGCCCCCCAGCTCTTGTGGCCTCAGGCACTCTGCTACGCCGCGCACCACCTGAACCTGTGGCCCATTGACGCACGGCCACGGGTGACGCCGGTCTCCCTTTGGACAGGTTCTCCGGGCGTAGCAGCTAACTTCCGTGTCTGGGGTTCTCTAGCTCACGTTTGCGCCCCTAGCGCGAGCAAGTTGTCTCGTCACACTCGTGCCTGCCTCTTTCTTGGCTTCCCTTTGGACGCCTCCAGCTGGGTGTTTTACGACCCAGTCACCTACCAGTTCTTCGCTTCTCATGATGTCACGTTCGACGAGTCTGTCTGTTACTACAAGAGTCGCCCCCACCGAGGTACTGAGGTCTTTTCCCCCCTGCTGTTCCTCACTCTTGAGCCCCCCCCAATCGTCCCTCTGGATCGAACATCGGGACACGTGAAGTCACCATAGCAAGAGACTCAGGTACGGCTAGCATGGTCTAGTGCAGTTGAGTGCTGTAGAGTGCAGTTGAGAGTGGTTGAGTGCAGGTTGCTTATCTGGGTGTGGGAAATATTAGGGTTGCGGGCATGCTGGTGGCTGGGGGTGCCGCTGCTGCGCGCGCGGCTGATGTGTGTGTCTATGCGGCAGCTATGTGTGCGTGCGTGCGGCTGTCGTGAGACACTGACCCCAGTGTCCTCTTCTCGTCAGCACGGGAACGAGACGGGCGAGACACTGGGGACACAGCATGACTGAGAAGAGGACGACGAGACCACGGAGACGAGGAAAGTGACGGGTTAGGAGGAACAGGAGGAGAATGCAGTGGGCTACGTACTAAGTGTGCAGGTGTAGGCTCAGAGAGCTCCTCCTGTCGCTGCTGCTCCGCCTCCTCCGGCGTCTGTTGCGGCTGTACCTACTCCTGCTGTCACTCCTGCTGCTACGGCTGTGGCTCCTCCTCTGCCCTCTCCTGCTGTGGCTGCAACTATACCTGCTGCTGCAGCTGTGGCTCCTCCTCGACCCTCTCCTACTGCTGCGGCTGCAACTGCACCTGCTGCAGTGGCTGCTGCTCCTCCTTGTCAAGCTATATTTGTTATAGCTTATTTGTGTTGGTGTACTTCATGTTTTCCTAGGTTTAGGGTTACGCTTTCTATATCTTGCTTGTTTCTCATTTTCCTTAGTCAATTCATTCACCAGTTGTTACTCTGACATGGTATAGAGCAATGACATCCTATGGGCCCACCGCCCCGTACCCTGACCTAGCCCGTAGTGCCTCGTCACCCGTAGCGCCTAGTCTCCCGTAGTGCCCCCCCGTCGATCCCGTCAGCTCGCTTGCCCCGCCCGTCACCCGTCACGACCTAGAATGGCCCCCACGGGCCCGCAAGATCGCGCTAGGAAGGGATCCCGCAGGTCACCCCCATGTCACGACCTAGAACGGCCCCCGCGAGCCTGTCAGATCGCGCTAGAAAGGGACCCCCGCGGGTCCCCCCCACGTCGCGACCCCGTCCCCTTCCCGTCGCCTCCCGTCCCCCCCTCCGAGTCGCGCCCCGTTAGCCCCCGTCCCCTCCCCGTCGCGTCCCCCGTTGCCCTCCATGTTGCGCCCCCGTCACCTCTCGTCCCGTCCCCGTCCCGTCCCCGTCAACTCCCGTCCCCCTCCGAGTCGCGCCCGCGTCGCCCCCCGTCCCCTCCCCGTCACGTCCCCGTCGCCCTCCGCGTCGCGCCCTCATCACCTCCCATCCCCTCCCCGTCGCGTCCCCATCGCCCTCCGCGTCGTGTCCCCGTCACCCTCGGCTTCGCGTCCCCGACTCCTCCCGTCCCCATCCCGTCGCCTCCCCGCACCCTGTGCCCGCCGCCCCACCTGAAACCGACCGCTAGAAACACCCCAGCAATGCCAGTAGCCGCTATATCCATGCTAGCAGTGCAGACAGCCGCTAGAACCATGCTAGCAGCACCAGCAGCCACTAGAACCGCGCTAGCAGCGCCAGCAACTGCTAGCAACGCCCCGAAAGCGCCAGCAACTGCTAAGAACGCCCCAGCAGTGCCAGCAGCTACTAGAAACGCGCCAGCAGCCCCACCTGTCCCGCCCCACCCTAGGCCCGCCGTCCCGCCCTGTACCCGCCGCCCTAACCTACGCCCAGAACCGCCCAAAACCACCAAGAACCGCCCAGAACCGCCCAAAACCGCCCAAAACCGCCCAGGACCGCCCAGAACCGCCCAGAACCGTCCAGAACCGTCCAGAACCGCCCAGAACCGCCCAGAACCGCCCAAAACTGCCCAGAATCGCCTAGAACCGCTCCCCACCGCTCTAGACGTGCCACTAGAACCAGCAGCAGCTTGGACTACCGCCAGGACCAGCAGCAGCATAGGCTGCCCCCAGCAAAACCAGCAGCAGCATAGCCTGCCCCCAGCAACACCAGCAACAGCATAGGCTGCCCCCAGCAGAACCTACAGCAGCATTGGCTGCCCCCAGCAGCACCAACAGTAGCATAGGCTGCCCCCAGCACAACCAGCAGCACCATAGGCTGTAGCCAGCAACCGCTCCTAGCCGCTCCCCACCGCGCTCGGCCGTCTCTAGTGCCTACCATGGCGTGTGCTAGAGTTCTGCAGCAGCAGCAGGTTCAGCTGCAGCGACAGCAACTCCAGCACTCCCGGCAGTGGGGACCTGAGGGTCCTAAGAGTACCGCCTGCAGCAGCGGCTCAGCCAGTAGTGGGCGCGTTGTCGGTCCCTGCGGGTACCGGATCCTGACTAGCTCGGATGCTCGCACCACCTGCTGGAGTCCTGACCACTTTGCGTCCTGCTGCTACCGTCGCCTCGACGACCTCCGACATGAGCGTTTTGGTCCTCACGCTATTACACCACACTGGCCCTCGCGTCTTTGCCCGCGCGCTGCCTCACCAGTTGAGTCTCACCTACCTAGTCTAGGACCCTTGCCCACTGCACAAGTAGAGACTTGTGTTTCCAGTCTTGGTGCGTGCGTAGTTTCTAGTCCAGGCGCCTCTGAGGGTCTTTGTGTGGAAGCTGCAGCTATCACTAGTCTAGCACCAGCCTTTGTCGTTGGCTCGGGTGCGACCTCACAGCCTGCACAGCTTTCATTCACCCTAGACTCTGGAGCGTCCAGCAGTTTCTTTCGCGACTGTACTGACCTCACGCCACTGCGCACTCCAGTCATTGTCGCCTTGGCTGTCCCCTCCGTGGGACCTGTAGTTGCCCAGAGCACCACCACTCTCCCGTGTCCGGCGGCTCCTTCTGGGTTTCTCATAGGTTACTACACCCCCTCGTTCTCCAGGAACCTGGTGGGTGTCAGTCACCTGCCATGCCCCACATGCCATGCCCCACATGCCATACATACCTTAGTGAGGCAGTCCAGTTGTTGCGCACCTTTGCTCCTCTCCCTCTTCGCTGCATTCATTATGCCTGCACACACGCACACATGGACACACGCACACACACATGGACACACGCACGCCGCACGCACGCACACATGGACACACGCATGCCGCACGCACGCACACACGCACACATGCACACATGCACGCACGAACCCACCCACCCACCCGTCATCACCGCATAAAAAAGAAGTCAAGATATCAAAGCAAGTCCCAACCTGCCATCCCCCCACCCAACATCATGCATCAACCTCCCTTCGCTTCGCAACACAGGGTTTCAGGTTTCGGGTTTCAAGTTTCGGGTTTGGGGTTTCAAGTGTCAAGGGTTACAAACCAGGTGTCAATATGTCAGACCAGACGCCAGAGTGTGAGTGCGCGTTTGATGGAAAGAAGAGGGGGGGAGGGGGGGGGGGGGGGGCTGGGATTCGTGCAGAAGGGCTAAGATAGAGGGAGCAATGGAGCAAAATTTACCACCGCTGCCGCCACTACCGCTCATCACGTGCAAGCCAGCACCACGCACCCGTCACTGCCCGCCGCTCACCTCTGCTCGCGCGCACGTGCTTGGCGCGGCGCAGCGCCATGCCGATGATTTCCGCAGCGGGCGACACGGCGGGCAGCTGCTGCAGCGCGCCGATCGCGTACTGCCGCTTGCTCTGGGGAGGCGGGGAAGCTGGTGCGGCGGAAGACGCGGAAGAGGCGGAAGCGTCGGCGGAGGATGAGGGGGAGGATGCGGGGAATGGGGAGGGGAAGGGCGGGAGGGAAGCAGCTAATTTGTCTGCGTTGCCGGCGCCTTCAACGGCGGCAATAGCGGCGGATTTAGTGGCACGGAGGGGAGGCGCAGCATAACGACGGACGGGAAGGGACGTCGAGAGTGGGAGGGAGATGCAGAACGAGTCGATGCGTGCGACAGCGGCGCCATGCATGGAGGCGAGGCGTGTAAAGGCGGCATGGGGGGCAACACGGGTCGTAGCGGCGGGGACACGCGCATCAGTCGCGGCGTGCACGGCAGTTCTGTGAGTCGCTCGTCGCCGTGCGACCTCCCTTATGCGACGCTCGACGACGGCGATGAAGGGGACAACCCCGACGACGCTGAGACGAGCGGGAAGTCGCCCGTCGCCGCTCACGAGTCGCGAAGGGACACGTGAAGGCGCGTGATAGCTTCGAGCGCGTGTGATTCTGAACCGAGTGCTTCTAGGGTCTCGGCTTCTATTCTGGCTCCAGGGAAGGGATGCCAGGGTCGGTTCCACGTGGCGGCATGTGAGCCGCTGGCATGTGAGCCGCACTGCACCGCAGTGCGCGGCGACTTGCATGGCAGCACGCACGGGTGGAGCCGACAGCCCGACGAAGCGCGCCGGCTTTGAAATGAGATGTCTAGGCTAGACTTTCTGAGATGTCTCAAAGACGACTGAGATGTCTAGGCTAGACTTCCTGAGATGTCTCAAAAACGCACTTATTTCATGTTGAAATGATACGTCTAGGCTAGACTTTCGAGTAGGTAGTCTAGCTAGAGGTTGGAGCAAACAGGAAGTTTTGGGAGAACGTAAGGCATCCCAGTCAATTGTAGTCCTCAGCTCTTCGCTGCTGTTTTGTATTCCAGGGAATGGTGGAATATTACATAAACATGTCTTATCCTCGTATTGTTTTCAATCCACATACCGTAGTTACAATGTCATGTTAAATATCATGCCATTATCTATAGCGCAAAAGAAAGGCAGCCCAAGAAAACGAAGATCCCCCAATTTCTTCCTGCCTACCCAAACTTAAAATGAACTGAAATGAGGAGAAAAATACTGTTATAGTCACAATAGGCTTGAATGTGCCTAAAACGAAAGATAGAGAGCACAGACGGATTTCTGCACAGCGGCTTCAAACGTTGATAGCGTTCTGCTCACAGCTGCAAATGACTTGATTCAAATTGGATCTGGAGCGTCTTCACGTCGTCTACAATTAGCAATTTAGATTGCACGATTTGATAAAGAATTGACGACACGGCGTCGGTTTGAACGAACGGTACTATGGCAGCCACTATAGTCTTAGAACACAAGATAGGAAGAGTTACGAGTTGGGAATGACTCCCACCTCCTACAAACCCCAAGAGCCGAGGTACAGTGATGTGGAACAGTGCCACACTGTCCCCAACCACGAAGGGTCTCGAAACTACCCTTCACTAGGGCCTACACCAAGTGAAATGTTACACTACACAAAGTAATGTAACTATCTTCAATATCTTGAGGTGTACCCTTTTGGCAAGCTTCGAAATCACTTGAGGCTTGACACCAAGGCTCGGGCTCTTCATCACAAACTCATCCTTGAGTTCTTGATGGGTCTGCTGCACACACCTGCGACACGCCGAACGTTCGACACAGGACAAAATAGAAACCGAGCACGACAAAATAGAAACCGCGCGCGAGACACAAACGACCGCGTAACACGCGTCTAGCGATAACTCGCTATTGACTCGACACACACACTCGACATCATGACTCAACATTCACACACAATTATAAGCATGAAATATATATTATCCCATGCCCTCATACCATTCCATACACACACACATTCACGCACACGGACAACAAGCCGAGTGCAAACCGTAGGGTTGCACCAACAAATACTACCGTATTCTCCCGGACAAAACACCCCCCGTAATTGTACACCCCCGGGTAGCTTGTGCGGGGTGGGTGTCAGGGCTGATTTTATCAGGGTAATTACCCTGATTTCAGGGTGATTACAGGCTTCTCAACTGCTGGGCCCTGCAATTTCAGTTTTTTTAACTTGTGAACTCTGATCCAATCAGACAAGTTACTTAACGAACCCTGAAATCTTATAACTAGACTCAGAGTAGTGTACTTGTGGACTATGTCTATGCAGAGTATGCGTTCGGTGGACCCTGAATGCGAGGGTATCGGGACGAAGGTTCCTCGAAGTTTCCTTTCGATAACCCCCCCCTGTGCGTAATCATTACTTCGCGTGGCCCCATGTGAGGTACCCCGTTCACGCGCTGGACTGACGTAATAACGACACCGAATTCCAACACCGTGCTGTAAAGACAGCTGTCAACAGTGACAACGCACCCAAATCTATGATACGTTGCTGCCACGCGCACCTCGCAGTGCACAGCATGCCTCTGCCATTCGCCAGAACGGCATGTTGACAGTATGCGTTGGCAGCTAAGCAGTCCTTTAATGAATTCGGCCGTGCATCTACGGCCGAATTCATTGACGAATGTTGCCATGCCATCAACCTTGTGGCATCGCGCCGCGGTGGTTTCGTGATGACCCCGCCATCTCCAATCTTCCTTTCCTTCCCCCTACCCAGAGCCAGGCTTCCTTCGCTTCCTGCTTTTCGTTCAGTATCACACTTTCCTCTCGCTCCATCTTTCCCCTAGCTCGCCGCCATGGAGGCCCTGTCGGCCGACGAAGATGCTCCTCAGACTGGCCCTGACGAGCCACCTTTACCGGCGAAACCGACAGCGCAAGCCTTGCCGGAGAAAGCATCAGATGATCCCCGGTCTGGGCTCGATTTTCTTAGAGCTACCGGTGCTCCGGTGACACCAGAACCTCCTAGGTCTATGGTTCATGACTCTGCTGCTAGAGTAACCCCTACTCCTTCTGATTCTCCACATCCTGTCGCCTTCACTCTACCCCCGGCTGTTGCTTCTTGCAGCAAAGATCCCCCACCGCCATCGCCTAGCCCCACTCCAAGCACGGTGCGTGTGTCTGTTGGCCCGCCGTCGGCTTCTTCCACTCCCAAGCGAGCGCGAAATGGGAAGTGGGCGCAGAGTACTCTGGTCGTTGGAGGCCGCCGTATTCCACCGCCTGACAATGACAAAGAAGCTGAGCAACCGGAGGAAGTTGACATCCCTGTGCGCGCGGATACCGGCTCGCCCGCACTCACCAAGATGCAGCTGCGAGAGCAGGTGTACCTTGAGGCGAGTATTAACTACGAGACGAAGTGGTCGCAACACTTTTCCTGGCTGGTGTTTAGGAAGACCAAGGACGGTTTTCCATACGTGAAGTGCTCCATCTGCATGTCGTACGCGAAGGGGAACACGAGGTACGCCATGCAAGGTGACGACGGTGGCCGTGACTTGCAGACGCAGTCGTTCAGGGCGCACGAGCATACGGACGCACACAAGGCGGCGGTGAATCGGCAGTTGAAGCTTGCGGCGGGCATCCGCGAGGGCCAGCAGGCGATTTTTGACTTCATCAACTCCGACGTCGAGGGGCGGCGCGCGATTCGTCTCATGCGGTCTACGCAGTTCCTGTGCCAGTGCGACGCGCCGATTAGCATGTTTCCGAAGCTGATGCGGCATCTTGCGGAGCAGGACACGCCAGACATTCCTCGACAATCTTACGGCGTGTATCTCACACGGTATTTAATCTTACCGTTAGATTGCAGCTGGACATATGTGACGTGTGGTTTTTTTATTACGATCCTGACCATTTTATTCTCCTCTGTGCAGATACGGGTTCCAACAAATGGTTCACAGCATCAGTACATACCTCACTCGGGTCCAGATGGACCACATCCTGGCATCCCCCTTCCTGGGCATTCAGTGCGACGAGAGCACAGACCGAACACGAGGGAAACACATGATTGTGTACCTTACGTTTTTTAAGAATCGCCAAATCGCATGCGAGTTCTTTACATTGCTGACGGTTGAGCGGTGTGATGCAGGGTCTCTGTTCGAGGTGCTTCTGAACCATCTCCGCTCCGCAGCCGTCGATGTGTCCAAGATCGTCGGCATCAGCACGGATGGTGCGTCGGTCATGACCGGGAAAGAAAACGGATTGGTGGCGCGTCTTCGGGAACACGTTCCGCACCTGTTTTCATGCCACTGCATCGCCCACCGGTGTGTATCAAGTTTTCTAGTTGGTGTGGTTTTCTACGTATAAGATTAACCAATTACCTCTTGATTTGTATTCCCTGCATCCTACAGTGAGGCGTTGGCTGTGAAGGACGCCGCTGAGTCAAACAAGGACCTTGGCATGGTCGACAAGGTGGTGCGCACAGTGGCGACGCTTCTCGGAAACTCAAGCGTGTGGAGTCAGCGCTTCAAGTACCTTTAGCGAGTGATCTACCAGACAAACCTCGAGGTCCAAGGAATCCACACGGTTCGATGGCTGTCACGAGATGATGCGGTGCGCAGGCTGTGCAAGGTCCTCGGCGCTTGCATCGTGCTGCTCTGGGAGCACAACCACAAGGCCTACGAGATTGTGACGTGCTACAAGTTCCAGTTCTGTTTGTTTTTCCTGGCCGACATTCTGGCCGACATGAACGACCTCAACCGCTGCTTCCAGAGGCGTGAGGTGAGATTGAATGCTAGTATAATGTTGAGATGGGAAGTGTAATCCTACACTTTTGCTAATCCTACTCCCTGTTGTTGATTGCATGTGTGACAGCTGGATGTGACTGAGATTTCGAAGACTATTGAGTCCACCACGGGTGACCTGACGGAGCGCTACTTGACGACAAACAAACCGTTCGGGGGCGAGGGCAAGAGCTGGCTGGTAAACTTCCTCAAGGTCCACAAGGAGGGTGGAGGCAAGCAGGTCCGGGTTCGAGGCGTGGACGGAGAGGGACGCCCAATCAACCACCTCTATACCATGCATGAGAGGAAGCTGAAGGGCCACAAGCAGGGAAGCACCTACGCAGACTGCGTGAAGCTGTGCCGCCAATTTGCCCGCGACTGCGTGGACAACCTGAACGAACGGCTGAATGACCTTGGGAAGCTGGGCCCGACGAAGCTGTTCCGGGCGGGGAAGTGGCCGAAGATCAAGGCCCAGCGAGAGAAGAAGTGCAAGGAGTGGCTGCACGGATGCAGCAGGCTCTTCCGCCACAAGCTGCCGGGATTCGACATCAAAGCAGCAGAGAGGGAGATCCCGACATTCTGCGCGATCATGGAGTCACACCATGAGATGGAGAGCTTCGCCCAGGGCCTTCACAACTTTCTTGGGAGCGTAGACTCAAAGAGGTAGGCCACTGCATGCGTACGAGTTTTTTACCTATTTGATTTTTATGTTGGTGATTATTAACATGTTGAATTCCAACTTGTTGATTTATTAACTTGTTGATACTTTTACATGTTTTGTTGTGTTTCGAATGTGCCTGGCAGGAGATGGCCCAACCTCATCCTGCTGTG